TGGCAGAGCAATTGCTCAGGGGAACGGTTCAATTCGGCCCCATTCTTTATCGGCTAATCTGACCTAAAGAGAGCACGCAGCATGACAGAACACTCGACTACGAGGCAATTTCTGTCAGTAATGGTTAGTGTGATTATCCAAAGAACTAAGTTCGTCTAGGTAGGTAGGTAGATCGCAATGACCTTAGTACAACAAGAAAGACTTACATAACAACGCATCCAGGACTTTTGATGGGGTCCGGTCAGTACAGAGCGATGGACGGAAAGAACGTCCGCATTTGACATGGTCGTACCGGATCGCACCAATTCGTTATGGGCCATTAATGATTTTCAAGCTCAGTGCTTTTGCTAACATCCTATGCTAGAAGAAAAACTGTTAGAATCATGATGTACAACTATTTATGGTCACGCCATTCCCGAGCAAACACTGCAAAATCAACCTTGTTTTGTTCCAGGAATACTCAGCGTTATTCGAAAACCATCTACTTAAGACAAAACATACGACAAGTGGGAAATCTGTAAGACGGCGCTTCCATGGGGACGATGTACCAGAGAGATGTACCAGATGTATCAGAGAACCATCCTTAGTGCATCTCTACAAGCTTCGCTTGCAGACAGTTGAATCTGAAATCTTAAGCCAAAGATAGAGTGGATTTCTTGGACAGGAATCTATCCACTATTGTATTCAACGAGTTCAAATATCCACATCGAAGCTCCCCATAATGAACCCCGATGATCCACTAGAAGCAAGATTTTGGCACAAGCTGTCGGAACATTTTCAGCAACCTTCCGAGTAGTGTGTTCCATCAAGAAAATGCACTCTACGCCCTTAATGTCATACCAATTAAAACACGAGGCGGCCTTCAAACATCACATTCAGTTAAAAATATTGTAAATGGAAGGTTAACTGGGATTTATTCGAGTCTTCTGCTGGCATGAACTTTCTTTTTCAAAGTAGTGTGTTTAATCAAGACCAACTCCTGTTTAAACTTTGCTGGTTTATGTCGGGATTTCGGGTGCCCGTTTTCAACGGGTAAATTAAACAGTGCGTCAACTTTGTCATATTTCCCGAGAATCATTTATTGTCTTGACTGCAGACGTTATCCTTTTAACGGTTTACACCTTTTTGTCTCCAATTCCCTGATGGGAATATCATGTGTTGTTGGGTACAGCTCAGTATGAAGTTGTTCGCATCAAAAAACTTCTTACAAATTCATTGCTGCAAAAGAATAGTTTTCAATTATTGTCGAAAACCCCCATTGGGTAACAGCCTATATGTGTGTGTGTTTGAAAGGCCCGGTTTCGAAGTCACATGATTGCCTTGATATGTGATGAATAGTTACTCTATTCCCAAGGACAAAGAAGCTGGTTCATTTTCTTTTTATTTGTTCTGTACTGTACTCTTTTGTACACATTGTAGTAGTATAAGGTCTGCGTGGAAAAGATTTCCGAGTATGTTTCAGTATTTGACGTGAAAACAATCAAAGAAGTTTACACCGAACCGAATAATCTAGGCCTGGTGATATTTTCTTATCGGACTGATTGAGTCATCGTTGAGAAAGCTTTCCAGGACCTTACTGAACAGACTGAGTAATGTAAAAATACACAAATGACTACATCTTCCTTGCACTTTTGGTGTTCACCCGTCACAATAACGGTAAACTGTCCCGTTGCATCCTCTGAGAACTGAAACCAGTCTGTTGACTCGGTGACAAGTTCCTTTTGCTTAAGGAGAGTGCTGGATGTACAACTCCATGATGTGTATTACTTATTACACGCGTGACATTCGATTGAAGCTAAAATAAGTGGGAGCCGAACTAGCACCGGTGGGCTTATCACAGCCAACAATAGGTGCCTTTTGTTCATGTCCGAGAAAGATGAAATTCATAGGGAAAACCTGTTTGTCTTATGCAGGCAAAGTTGGCATTCGCTACGTCCCAACTACATTAATTTACATTTTGACCATAAGTGGCCCCTTCTCTATACACAGCGGAATTAGTGTACACGCCTGCGGTAGTTTTTGTCGGGTCATTCACTTCTATCATCCAGCTATCCAGACAAGACCCAGTTGGGGCTGTAGTCAACGTTATTTACAAAGATCCTACATACTCTATTGTCGAATATGAAGAAACTGGTCCGCTAACAGGACATTCTATGTCTTTATTGTCGGTCATTGTCTGCCAAAACCAACAGTTTTACACTTTCAGCTATCTTTGCGTTCATTTTTTGGCGGTAACACCCATTGGCACTGTCCGTCAAGTTTGGAGCACCAATCGTGGCACTGTTTACGACTTTGCAACACGTGTATGGCTGCACAATCAGCTGAGCGACTGACACAGCCTTGCATGGTTGAGTAGCGCGCACCCCTCTGTCTTTCGTCACTCGGTTGGGCCGGACGCGTCTTGCACTGCACAGGCCTTTTACCCTAGTTGCGGGCCTATGTGCGGACGTGCGGTCACATTTTATCTCCATACATCCGAAAAACGAGGGTCTGGAGGCAGCGTAAACAAATCAGAATGACTTTAGGCACCTCTTTTCATCATCGAGAGTCTGATAAACCATACGTAAAAATGGACAAAAAAGAGTTGGGTGTGCCAAAGGAAAGATGAATAGATAAGCTGGGTAGATAGATAGACTGAGAGACAACCAGGGTAGCAAATCCACCCCAATCTGGTGAAACCAGCCACTTCACACACAGTACTTGGGCTGGCGAATTTGTGCTTGTATCTACTTCAAAAATCCATCGGTATTGGTTTTTTTTTCAGTCGTTTGCCTCCGTGAGATCGATGTTTATCTTAAGTGGCTGACCATGGATTGTTTCCAGTCTATAAAATGAAAAAATTGCGTCAGTGACTTTTACTGGTCAATTTTTTCATGAAACCGACATGCACCCAGAGATTTTTCTACCCTGTCTAGATGCGAGCAGTAGGGAAGTACAGAGGATTCGTTATTTGTTCACTTTACAGCACGAGGTATACCCGAAGAGAACACACTCGGAGGGCAAGAGTTGGCTTCTCCTGTGCGTGATCTTACTTGGTACGAAAATAGATTGTATTAAATCACGACTAGTGGGAGATTTCATCGTAGGCTATCCTTGGGGACAGATTCCGTTAGGAGGTCACAGTGTTGGCAATTTCTGGAATAACTGGCTGTCAATGGAATTGGCAGTGATACCGTTTTGAGTGTTGGTGTTGAACCAGAAGTCAGATTAACAGCGAGATGTTTAATGTGGATGAATCATTGACACATTGCACAAGGTGAACGTATTCAAGAAAACTGGTGACTGTCACTAACATAGACATACTTAATGGACATCAAACAGTGAAAATGACTAATCTTCGTGAACCAGTCAACAACACTGGACAGTCATCGATCAGATCACGTGGTCACATGGCGCTGCAACGCCCTAATGTGTGCGTACGGTTGTCCCACTACAAGTGCTGTATTGAGGCGTATTTACCAGTGGCTGAAACAGAAATGGAATACACTCATTTGCAAATCAATTTGGTTTTCACGAGAGACTCAACTGAATCTCTCGTGTATGATATTCTGAATGTGCTGCACACAGGTCGCCTCATGATTCAGTTAGCACGGTATTCGAGATGTCGCAGCATATTTTCACAAAGGAGACTACTCACAAGTTTGCTGAAAACTCTTCGACAGCCCACGACCTGTTTCGCCCTTCTTCGGGCTCATCAGGTAGGTGCAGTCCCTGAGTTTCCGTCAACCTTATGATCTACTTGAACCCAAATTGCACTGTTTTCGAGAAATATATTCATTTGCAATATCATAATCTCTCGTGAAAACCAAATTGATTTGCAAATGAGTGTATTCCATTTCTGTTTCAGCCACTGGTAAATACGCCTCAATACAGCACTTGTAGTGGGACAACCGTACGCATACATTCTGAACACATTTTAACCATATCTTCGAGAATTCCCGTATGTCATGTTGGATGCAGCTCACAGTCGGTGCCTTTTCAGAACTAGGCTTAAGTACATAAAGCGCGATCCAAAATGATAATGTATAAGAGTAGTATCTGACCAGATTGGTAGCTCGCACGGGACCCAATAAACTGATTCACTTTCATACCATCCGCAGACCCCATCGCGCTTGTTTTTCCGTCAAATTCTGTAAATTTTGTGGAAATCGCTGGAACGTTCCCTAAGGACATTTGTTGGAGAACTGTGTGAATGTGACGAGGGGCTACTTGCTGGAAGCTGAGCTCGAATATGGTTCGCTTGATAGACGTGGCCCGTTAAAGTTCGGGGTGAATCTTACATGACATTCCGTAGTAATACTACCCACTGCTGTTCCAGTATGGTGACCAACTTCTACAGAAGTGCTTTAAAAAAAGAAAGTCAGGTTTCTGCCGGTCATCTGAAACTAGTAAATAGTTCCGAATTAGGTCAAATTTTTCCAAGGACAACGACTACTCATTGAATTTTACGAGAATTTTCTCGTCCACAATGCTTGAATGAATTCCGCTTTACCTCCGTCACGCTCTCTTTTTTGGTCGAAAAAAGAATGTAAGAAACGATTCTTTTTCGCCTATGACAATGACGCGGCAGCCTCTTTGACATATTTGGGTCTTCTAAGTCAGATTCGTTCGGCTTTGCTTTATTTCTGTTGTGAATGGGCCTGTCTCAAGTTGCTAGGTGACAGCTGGCAGCTGGCACGAACTGGACAACATTTTCCCACCCAACTACAGTGGAGATTGCGTGAACCAGACGGTGAATTACCCTGGTTGCTTAGTCAGTGTTGTTGCCACTTGATATTTCCAGCGATCCTTCTGACCAAAAAATGTCTCCCGCTGTTTTCCGCTCAGCATTGTACACCGTACGATGCAGCAAAATCATTCGTATGAAAATGGTGTCCCAGAGATAAGTTTTGCTCAGAATTCGACTGAACGGTGTCGGCGGACATGGGTGAGGTTATTCAACTATGTTGATCAGCTGACCATGAATGAACTGCGTATTTTGTTTGACTGTTTGTATTTAGCCTTTCAAAATTCCCGAAGTACGTGGATTCTCCGACAACATTTGTCCGCAAGCGTCACCTGCCGAAGTGTATTGGCGCTTATCTCCCATGGATCAACTGGAGCCTTGTATCTCGCAGTCAAGTGAGTTTCGTTTTCTCTCGAAGTAGTGCACCAGAAATTTTAGTCAAGTCCATCAACTGCACTATAATCACATACTTTTCAAAGAAATAATTTACATACACTCCATTAAAATGACAATGAAAGTCCGTATCTGGATATTATTTACACATATCAGACATAAATTGACGGATATATGGGAAATGCAATGATACTCAACCTTGTAATTCCCATTAGCTTGTATGGTGTACAAGATAATGAGACAAACGCTAGAAAGTCTTCAAAACTCCGCCATTCCAATAGCTGCTGACGAAAACTTTGTTACTCCGGAATATGCTGACAATATTGTTCTCATCTTTGAAAGAGAGAAAAAGGCACAGGTGTTTAAATGAAGTAGTAACAGTCACCCTTCCCTTTGAACCCACAAAGTGAGAAGAGAACGTGCATTCACCGAAGGTACCGCTCACAATCTAGGGAGCGACATTCGTAGTTTTGGAACGTTTTACATACCATGGAAGTTGTATTGGCTCCTATTGGAGTATGACAGATGAGATCAATGCGCAAATCCGTAAGGCTCGGGGTCGTGTTTTCTAATTTGAGATGCCTATGGCGTCAAAGCGGTATATCCCTGCATCTGGTACCAAGTTTGTATCAGGCTACAACACAGGCTGTTTGGTTGCATGTCTGAGACGTGGTCTCTTCGGGCAACAGAGTTGTGACGTCTTCAGGTGTTCGAAAACTGTCATCTCAGAACCACAGCTCGTGTGGGTTGGTGTCGGTGAATCTGTAATTATGAAGCAAGTGTTCACCTTTTTGACAGGGACGCACATCGAAAAATGAGTCCAGCACCGGAAGCTGCGTCGGTTAAGGCCACCTATCGCTCGTGACACATCGTCACTTGCCGAACAGAGTACTGTTTTCTGGTGGTGGTAGCAGATAATAATCCAACGTCTGACCTGGGAGACGGATATGAAAGGGATTACGAAAAGTCTGGGTGCTGTCGATACGAATCTCCTTCCAGGATGGGGACCACGTGATCCCTACCACGCCTTGTAGGAGATACTGCAAGATATGGTTACCAAATGACGTCTGTGCTGTTATTTTCTATCCAGATTGCTTGAATGAGTGTCTAAAGGTGCACGCACCTTGGAGTGATCGTGGAGGGCTAGCACTTGGTCTCTTCCCAATCCATCTTTATTCTTCACAACAAGGCTTTCAAATAGAAAGACATTGTTGTACTGCAGCAAAGTATCAGCATTCAACAGTGATGTTATTTCGCCCGTGACGGTGGTAATGAATACCGGTTAGTCGAGACAGCCAAGTATGCAGGTTGGCGAATAAGGCGAAATATTGATATATTAGTGCATTTCTACCCATCTTCTCACGCTACTTACCTCAAAAACATATAAGCCATCGGCTCTTCGAAACTTTGAGGCGACTCGTGTGCGATACGTCTGGTTAACATATGCCAAACAAAAGATATACACACTGATATCATGAGAGATTTACTTGAATTCGGACTTCCGATTGTCTCAGAATTAAAGAACTTTTTTTGGTCATATACACCGCAAATGATAAAAACGGTGTTGACCTCTGCAGAGTAGGTGGATGGTACTGCACAACTACTCATACGGAAGCAAATGGCTTGTTTGGAGTACCATACTTTAAGCCTCTGAGCCAAGGCCTGATCAGCAAAACACTGAAACTTTGCTAATTTATTTATTTTTGACAAGCTAAGTACTCCGCCCACAACATATTCCTTAGTGACTCTACCAATGATTACTGTCCACGTGAATGTGAGAACCGTGTCTAGCCTGAGCTTTCGGGTAATAAAATAACCTATTCAGCAACGCCTTCGTCTAACCATTCTGTTGTAGTAACCTCCCCAATGGTAAGACTGGATGACCATGTAGATCCTAGCAGCCAAATACTGTTTATCAAACATAGTCTCGCCCACTGTTTGGTCCGAAATCTCGTAGTAGAAGACCACAATAATTTGTAAGGATGATGATGCACTGCAATTGAAGTGTTCTTTAAGCTAAGTGAGAGCGAATCCCCCGAGAATAATTATAAAGCAACCTAAAGAGGCTCTCGCTATCCACGCCAACCGCCGATTTTTAGGTCGGTTTTTAACTACTTGGTTGTCATAAGTAGGCGGCATAATCCGGTGTAATTCATTTGTGGCTCGCATTTGGAAGAAATGTCCTGCGCTGACTAGCGTATAGCTAGCCAAGCAGTCTGAATAATCATGCGCAGCCGTATAGTTTGCCTCATTTGCCATTTACTGATTCCCGAGTCTCCACGTTTATCTCGCCCACAAGGCTCGTTGATAAAAAAGAAAGATCAGTCAGATCAATTGCCAACCGGTTGTCAAAATATACCCTCGACAGTGCGATGGACAGCTCAACCTGACTGCTCTCTACGAATGGTTAGTCGTGCCTGGAACGCCATGTGGCATGAAGGCATCTGGCCAAATCCGAACTCCATAAACCTAGATTTTGGGACGGAATCCTTTGACATGATGGATTGGCGTTCGTCAATTGCTAGTCTGTGGACCGATGTGTTTCTTCGACGAATCTCAACCTTCGCCGTACATTTATTCTGCTCATTGTGGGGTAAAACGCCAACTGATGCTATGCAAAGCCTGATTGTAGAGGCACAACCGGAGGTCGCGGCTAAAACGAGTTCTGAAGAATGCAAGACAGTCGGAGATGAACAAGTTGAAACCTCATGGATAACTTGGAAAGATGTATTGTGGATGGCTGAAGTAAGTGAATCTTCACATGAAGTTGTTCTGGTTCCACGTTTTATGAGTCCAATCAGTTGCGAGAGAACTTATTTCAAGTGAATAGAATTTACGGTAAAAACTTTGCTTATTCTAAAGAGAGCTCGTCACAGTACTGGGGACGCATATTTTGATTCAATCGATGAAGCAAAACATTCGAAAGCCTCCACACCGAAAAATTTGGCTATTTCCCAAAACTCTTATGCGGATTGCGCCAAGGAACTAGTGTACTAATGAAATGACCTTGAAAATGTATGGCCCGATTTTCCACAATCTGGAAACATTCATTGGTTTCAAAATGGAGGGTTCACAAGTATTGAGTCTGTGCTTGTATTCAACCTTGAATGAACTAGACCACAGATGACTGCAGAAGACAAAATTTACGTGAGAATACATGAAGATCGGATGAGGGGGTTCACGTGGTAAACTTGTTGACGCCTCAGAAGACAGCACAGGAAAGAACGCCACTCCTCTGAACTTAAACAGCTCATATCGATAAGTTTACTCCCTTGGGTGAAACCTGACTGCCACACGCAATCACGATGAGTCGTGTTCAGTAAAATGCAGTTTGAAAAATGCGTTTCATCACAGTTTTCGTCAGAATAAGCACCTTATCCTGTCATACATCGAGTGAACTATGTTATAAGAATGTGATCTCTAGCCGTTTTGTAACTGTTTTATCAGTATTTCAGCAGCCTGTGCGAACGTTTTTCCCCACTGGAAGGCTAAAATCCCTATACGGCTCACATTCCATGAAAAGCTAATCTAAAAATCTACGTACTGCTGATGGCCTAGTTGATAATGAGTAAAGGATGTCCAAAAACCTTTCAGGTCAACATGCACCAGTATTTGCAAGCGAAAGCATCACGTCTCCCCATTCTGACTGCACAATACTTAGATTCTTAGAATATGTATAATTTTCCCAGATGAACGTAGAGTGCGTACTGAAATATATAGATGTAAAGTCAACACCTAGTTGGAGAAGATTCATAAAAAAACTGGGATTCAGTTGTGCCAGCTTTCGCAAGCAGATGAAAGCTTGGAATTTACCAACGATACGAATGAGTGAACTGATTTACAACCAAGTGTCAACAAGCGAACCCTACAAATTTCTCAAGAGTAAAATGATGGAGAATCGCATATGGTCGGTGTCAGGACAGCGTTTTCAAGGCATGTGACTATAGCGTGAAGAAAAATGCAATTGTCGGAGATGAAAATCTCGCTTTAAGAACCGACTACTGGCCAAATGTAAATAGGTTCAACTGGTGCCATGTATGTTGATTTGAGTAAAGCTTTCGATGCCACTTCCTAAGCAAGCTTTACAAAACGGGGTTCAGTGAAGAGCACTTGATTGGATTTGGGTGTTCCTCGTTTGTAATTAGTGGCGTTTTTCGAGGATCAGTCGTTTGGTCATCGCTCTGTACAATCTTTTTCTTTCAGCGATTTTAGTTTATACACTCCTGCTTAATATCCCATGTAATGTACACTGTTGAAGTTATGGACACCCGTCGCATTTGAAGACACGGGGTGCATTGGATATTTTGAAATGTTTATGCTGAAAAGCTGTACAGCACTGTACAGCTGTTTTACCCGTATTTGTAATCATCAGCAGTGCGCATCTCACGAAACTCCGGAGAGTCTTGAACCCGCGTCTTCCTGGCTAGTGGTCTAAACACATGAGCATTCCTAATAGGGACGGAACAGTGCTTCTCGGCTTTTCAGCATAGATTGGCTTCACTTTCAGGACGAAATCTCCACAAAAACCCAGATCCCCTCACCTTACCAACAATTTTGAAAAGTGGTTTATCTGCTGCAGTTTAGCCGCCCCAGCTTTTGTGTTTTGACAACTGGCTGTTATCAACCCTTTGGGGTTTATTACACTGATGAATATCCACCGGGCGAGGTCCCCGATAGAGAACAATCTTGATACGTTTCTGTCCTTTGACCTTCGTTTCAACCTTATCCACACTGGAAGACGGTGGCTGTAACCCGACTGGCCTGTTTGTTAGTCGTTCGAGAACCTTCAACTGGAAATGTTCCGCATCCTTCGTGCGTTAACCATCCGGTCTGTTTCTGAATAAGGATAACCAGCTACGGTACAATGCTACAGCCGTGTATGCCAGCTTCTACAAAGGATACAAGAATGCGGCTGGAGCTCTGTTGATAGATCCCCCCTATGCCATACCCGGACCTGCACCTTGGTGATCACATATGCATCACAAAACAACGGCTAATATGGCATAAAGTGGCTTTTAACGATATATTTAAGGGTTGTGTGTGGTCTCAGGTACTGCTAAATCACCCTGACCAGGGCAAGAAGATGATTATGGTTATCTCGAAAGCCTGACCACAAGGCAGAGACAATTTGCTTGCAATTTTCATAATATTCTAAATTTTAAATAACAGGATGTCACTCTTATTTTAGACTTCAAGTTGGAGGTATGAAGGATCATTCTTCAGGTCTCTATTCACTGCACAAACTGCTTAATGGATTCTACTGTATAGACAATCTCCAGCAATGCTCAGTGGGTCACCTGATAATGACTCCGCCCGTTGATTTAATCCTTGTCTGCAAATCGCTGAGAGGTGATACGACGAGATTTCATTCGATATTTCCAGCGCCCACGGGAAAAGTTATGATACCAGCACTCCAATAATACTTCCCCGGCTAATATGGTTTGTAACTCCTGATGGATGCAACCGACATATTTCCGATCCCCCCTAGAGCGTACCAAGCTGTCTTGGATGATCTACACACAGGCCACTTTGCAATGTGAAAGAAGAATTCCCTAGCATGATTCACTTGTTCGGGGATTGCCCTTGGTTCTGCTATGTTTCATATACCTAAGAGTGACTTTAATCCATAAACACGTATTCCGATTGGTTTCTTTAGTTTGACATATTTCACGCGGAACATTGTGGTCCAATAATAGGAAAGATATTTCGGCCTTGTATTAAAAAAAGTTGGCTAGCTCATGATGCAAAAATGGACTTGGAGGATTAGCAAATTTACATACTTCATGCAGATAAGAAGCATTTTCGGGGAACGTGTTAGTTGTTGTCTCTTTGCAATTGTATGACGCCTCTTTAGATACATAGGAGAAACACAATAAGAAGTAGCGAGCGGCTGAAAACGAAACTTCTGAATGGGCTACCGAAACTCCGAGGTTAAGTCACCTTGGGACTTGTGTAGTGATTGATAATAACTAACCAAACTGAAACAGCCATGCTTTGAACGTCTTTACGCTAGAATTTAATGTTACCTTCCTTTCTCATACCTGATTTAATGGTTCTGATTTGATGCGAATAGCTTAATTATCTACAAGATGTATGATTCGCTGGGGAAGGTCACCCTACCATACATGAATAGAGCCAGAGGGAGAACAGCTACAGCACAGTCTGACGTTTGCTGTCACTTGACAGGGCCTGTAAACTGTTTTCGGGGCAAATATTTGTCACAATTTTCTCTGATGAACCTTGCTAACCGAATCTTTTTTCTCCAAATTCTTTCAGCATCGGTTTATCGACTGCATTCCCATCTTGCTGATCAGCTGTTTGCAATGCTCACCACGCTACACCGACAGCATGCAAGTAGCCTCGGTATCAATGCCAACACGAGCAACAACCCAGACTCCCGATTTCGGTGCCACCAGATTGTGCGTGTCCACAGGTTCAGAGGAGCTAGCAAGCCTGCTGCCGAGCCGGTCAGCCTCACAAGCTAGAACAAAACTGGAAAATTTGGACACTAATTCATCCAGATCAATAGTGGATCCAAACTTCTCAGTTATGTGGAGTTCCGCTGATCCACTGCAGTCCAATTCCATGGCCCACATGCAAGCAATTGAAGCCCCCAACATTCCAGTTTGTACACCCAACAGTTGTCATTCAACCGTAATGCTGGATATGGTGGACGCATATGAGGCATCCAATGAAACTGCAGTGCACTTTGAATGTGAACCTGGCGGTCATGCCTACCTCAGCCTGAGCAACTTGAGCTCAGCTTTGGCCAAGATTCAGACAGATGTGACAAAACATTCCCAACGAGGGCACCCATCTTACCCGATCCTACAATACTTGGACTCCTATGTACTTCGGTTTGGAAGCTTTCTTGCCTATCATCCCGTACTTCTGAGTTCCTTCATAGCGCTAAAACTGACGGATCCGGGAGAGTCACGAACACATGGACAGGTTGACCAAGCTGTGTTGTTAGAAATGGGAGAACGCGAACGGAGACTAAGAAGGTTGAACGAGCAGTTCATCACAGTGTTTAGTAATGCTGCAGACCTGGTCGCCCTGGATGCAAGTCGGACCGACCATGAGTCACGTAAAGTTCCTTCTGAGCATCCAGATGTGACCCACATCAAACCAGAAGAACTAGATGCAGCTAATTCCCGACGCGCCATGCTGAACGACTTTCTTGCATGGAGTAGAACGTTCGATAGTGCATGGCGTGAGTTTCAACGAAATACCTGGGCTCAACTTGCACAGAGCAGTGGTGATGCACAGACCAATGCTCTACATCGGTTGACTACATTCTACGCGCAAGATGGACGAATTTCACAACGATATCTTCTAAACCTGCTACTCGAAAGTTTGAACGAACTTCAGTAGACCTCATCTCATCAGGTGACCTAAGTTTTGGGATAATAATCATGGCCTATACGTACATCCATATTCCGGAGAAAGCATTGAGAGTTTTGCCTTTGTGGCAAGTATTTTTTGCTCACTACTATGATTTGGAACTGTGAATCCAGTGCATTCTAAGAACATCCACCCTCTTCCTCGTTGTCCCGTGTAAATTTCTCTTTGAATGTCTTAGGATTTTACAATAGGTTGAAACCACCTTTGTGAGCTACCTCTCACTACTAACACAAGCAGCTTGTCTTTCCGGCTAGATCGAGTGACAATCAATCTGTGAACATGCTGTCAAATTCAGTATTCCCTCACCCTCTCATCATGTAGCGGTCGTTTTTGCTCCTGACTGCGACTCAGTCCTGCTCAATATGTTTATCGTGTTTTTTTCAGGTATGCTTTCCCTCACACCTTGTGTTGAATAGGCAATAATACTTGAACCAGCAAGGATTCGCTCAAATCCACTTTTGTATATACATATTACCATGGTGGATATACATTTGGCCATTTCGATATGCAGGATCTGTACCAATTTTTCGGTACTCACTGAGCATTCTAGTCCCTGTTACTCTTATCCAGTTTCCTCGTGCACCTATTTATGTAACCCTCATGTCATTGTTATTGCTGCTCAAGGTGTTAAGCATACGCTGATGGTCAACTAAGGTGATGGGAGTCAACCAATCGTGTCTTCCTGTATTTTACATGCACACTGTCCCTCCATTGCCAACGATTCACCACTGTGCCTACTACGCCAAGTTTTTGCCATGTTATCCATATTTTTCTATTCTTTCATCCTCACTACCAAGGATTTTCTCCGTTGAATAAGTTTTTTTCCGAATCTGTCTTCTATCGTTATTATGCACCATAAATAAGAAACCCTCGTTTCTGCGTTCGTCGCCTTAAAAATTGTGTTCACTTCTGATCACCTGTGTTAACTAGTGCCTTCAAAGTATATATTTTGGTAAAACCAATAGGGTGAGAGACACCGAAAAAGCTTCTGTTGTCCAGTGACCTTTCATATATGAATGATCATCTTTACCGTTATGGTGATATCCATCGTTTTGTTCCTCTTCACATCGACCGTTTCTATCCTTGTCGTTTGAAACAATGTTCCTCTGTCCATGACCCAAAGACGTCTTCCACCCCACACATGCCTCTGTCTTTGAAGTATAACGAAACTTGCCTCAAGGTTTCTTTGATGTCGATTCCCCATTTTGCTGCAGTGCTTTTTGGGTATTATCACCTGACGGTGGCCCTACCTTCTTCTTTATACGCCAGCCCCACAAAAGTTATCCTGAACTATTTTTTGGTTGCTGTGGTTACAATGAGACAAGGGTTCTTGCTATGGCTGCGTGTGAGAAACGCAGAGATAGCGTCCCGATTCTCTGTCGTGAAGATACTGACAGGTACTGCACCGACTAGCGCCTTCCCTATCTTTTATAACAAATTTATTGCCTTGCTCATATTTCATGTTTGTTTTGTGTAACCTCTGAGAAACCGAAGAAAAATTATTCATTGAGGAGTCTTACAATGCCGGTGAACCTCAGAGTGAGAAGTTTCCCGCTCTGATCGTAAAGGGAGCTATGCGAGAGCGATGAATGCTCAACATGTATCTGAGGATAGCGTGACGTCAACAGGTACCGGGATAGAGTACAGCTTCATCTGGTGTACGATAAATATTAATTTCTCTTGCTCGACTTCAGCGGCGTTCGCTGAAATCCACGCCAACAGTGCCTAGAATTCCATGTTTCTCCAGTCCTGCCTCGGGAACTAACGCGGATAGGTCCTCCAGAACGCCAATGAAACATCAATCAAGACGTAATGTACTACTCATAAGGTTGCTGGAAATCCGTTGACAGCCCACGACCGGTTTCGCTGTTCTTGGGGCTCATCAGGTAGGCGCAGTACCCGGGTTTCCGCCAACCTTATGTTCTACTGGAAACCAAATTGCACGAAATTAGTGAATATACACTCATTTGCAAACTAATTTCGTTTTTCGAAAGACTCACCTTGGAACCCAGCTGGATCTCTCGGTTTTGATGTTTTCAGGCAACTGAATGTGCTACACCAGGCCGACTCATGTTTCAGTCGCTACGATGTTCGAAATATTGCGATACATGTATATCTTTGTAATGTGCTACTCATAAGGTTGCCTGTTCCCCATGAAACGTTTGATGTTGAAGTGTGCTGTGGTCTAACTGACGGTCAACCGTGAGACAGCGATTGGAATCGTGAAGTCGGAGCAGCTGCGGTTCCAAAGAAAGGCAACCTTCACTTCCGGTGTGACAACCGCAACGGACTGTCCGCTATCCCTTGCCGTCTGGGCATGCAGCCCACCGAGCTCGTATTTAAAGCCTGGTCACTGCTCTGGCTGCTAAGTCAGTACCTGATCGAACCTGTTGAGTTGGCCTGTCTGTATTTATTCACTAATGCAAACCTATTTTGCAGTGCATTTTGGGTAGTTTGAGTCTGCTGCATCGGTACACCCCCCGTATCCGCACGATCTGAAATTTGACTATCTGTCACACAAGCCTGAAGAGAGAAGAGCATCACAGTGTTCCGCACGTGATTCTCAGTTGCATACGCCAGCAGTTATACGGAAACGCACTATGCATCAACACCTCGGATTTCGTAATCACTCAAAAGTGAGGCTTAAGGTGAGAGATCTAGCCAGTGTGCTGACTATCAGACCCATCGTATCAGATTTATGTTCCAGGGGGTAACAGCACAAATATAGCACCTAATAAAGGACGTGATGTGGTTGGACCATGCTCTGACGCGATTCGGATACGGAAGGCATGACAGTATCTCAGTGTTGGGATAATTTCAATGTTGCAAGAAACGGTAATCCAACTACAACTTTGGACGTTGTTCTCTATTACTTGATTACCTGGGGGATGATGGCCACACGAGTTGTTATGATTCGGAAGTAGACAATGAATCTAAAAATTAGGCTCACATTACATGACACTCAAGATGTTTACACGAACAACGTGGATTGAGAGATCCACGTTGATCTGAAAGACCACGGAGGGCATTCTTATAATGGGAGCACAACCAGAGGGATCGGTTTCATTAAAAAAAACTACCGATTTTAAAACGTATCACGAAGTTTTGTGAAAGTCGGAAAACAAACAAATCCGTGTACGCTACATCAAACTCCGAAACTAGTCCAGAAAGACCCGAAAATCATCTAAGGGTTGAGGCTAAGAAGTTTCGCCTTCCTTTTTGGGATTCGTGATGTGTTATGGTGTAAGTGTGATGTTGGGTTACTTAACATTTTCATTCTCGTGACTAGCGAGAACAGTGGGACATTTGGGTAAGACAACACCCACTTTTGGCGTGAGCAAGAGTTTTGAAAATGTTGAACGTATAGTCAATATCTTAACCGACTGTGACTCTTAGAACAGTATGAGTGCAGTGAATGTACAATCCTCAAAAACCAGAAGCTGAACCATTGATATATGACTGGACGAGTTCAGTCGGAATGTCATTAAAAAACGAAAAAATACTACCAAGTTTTCCAAATATCACCACAATCTTTCAAGAAAAAGAAGTCATAAGGTGGCCCCATAACCTTCCAGATCGCATCCAAGCTGTCATTTACACACTAGTTAAAACTCCTCCTTAGTTTAGCGGCAGTGGTGCAATCGATTTTTTTGGAGACTGGTTCAAAAAACTTTGCTTTATCGCCAAAATTGATGACGGTGAGTATTGCTCAGACGACGTTGTGCTAATCAATGTCAAAGCTACATACGCAGCCGATCGAACCTGGTCGATCGTTGGCAGTCGAAATCGATAATTCGCTGTTAATCCGAGTCTAGCGAAACTGGTGGTGAATAGTGGTGGTCACCTGATGAGCAGAGTGATTTCTGGAACTACATGCAGATCGTCTTTTTTTCAGATTCCAACGTTTTTGATAGACTGTCAATTTAGCTTTTCACGCGTGACTACCATACCCCCCAAGTTTGGAAATGAAGCTTTCAGCGAGTAGTAATTGTTATTTCACTGAGCCTTAATTATAAGCAAGAAAGAACGCAGTGCAGTTGCTATTTTCGTTTTCCCAATCAGGTGGCGCCACAAACGCTTGAAACACGCTGGACAATTTTATTGAAGGAATTGACGAAGGTTCTCCGTGTTTGTCGCGCGTAAGATACTAATTAAATCTCACGTGATATTCAAGGATTTCTAAGGTGTCTGGGTCAGCGAATATACACACATCTGCAAACCAATTTGGTTTTTCCAGAGACTCAACTGGAACCCAGCTGAATCTCTCGGTGTTTTTATGTTTCTCGAATATCTCGATATCGCGATATCTCGAATATCGCAGCGACTGAAACATGAGGCGGCCTGGTGCAGCACATTCAGTTGACTGAAAACATCGAAACCGAGATATTCATCTGGATTCCAGGTGGGTCTCTCGCAAAACGAAATTAGTTTGCAAATGAGTGTACATTCACTAATTTCGTGCAATTTGGTTTCCAGTAGAGCATAAGGTTGACGGAAACCCGGGGACTGTGCCTACCTGATGAGCCCCAAGAAGAGCGAAACCGGTCGTGGGCTGTCGATGGATTTTCAGCAACCTTATGGGTAGTGTCTGGATCGGCTTTGATTTGGATTGCTGGCCTGAGTGGGTTTGGCCAAATCAAAACCGACTGGAGGAATCAAGCGAAGCCTCTACGTTCCTAAATTTGTGTTAACATGTAGGTTTTCGATACAATTGCCTTTTTTCTCACATGAACTTCAAAACAAGATCAGAAAAGGATCACGACTGAACGCGAAATTCGCTACCCGCGAAGTCAGTGCTAAAATCACCCATCTCTTCGAAGCACACGACCTTATGATTGATACAGTTGTTACTTTGTTTCGCTTCATATCGACGGAGAAAGTAAACAGGTATTATCTTGTTAAATTACTTGAGACAGAGCTTGATATTAATGACATCTGATTAAAAAAATGGGTACGTGGTTTGGCTGCACTTGGATAATATCTAGAGAATGTCTCTCACTGAAAGGATAGTAGTCGAACGAAAGCAGTTGCTCGAGCCATCACCAGTTTGATTTTCCGGTTTCTTCAGATGAAATTGGCGCTGTCGTCTGTCAACTAAGGCTTTGTTGGGTTATAATCCAGAAATATTGATCATGTTCGCAATTTCCGTTCATGTTCATACTCTGGGATAAATCCGGTGGATTCTATCAGTTTCGTTTTCCCGTGAGATTGGAACTTCCACCTTGCGCGAAGTCGCACG